TTTTGAAAACTTGTCATCTTTTAAAAGCTTCAGATTAAGTTTCCACAGTTCCCATTTGGGCCGAAAAACACGGAGGGTTTTGGTCCCCAAGCTAACAGAAACTAAACAATGGTCAGAAAAGAACACCGGTTTAACGTTATAGTTGTTCATTAAATTAAATGCATCGCCTGATACATATATTCGATCAAGACGAGCGTGTGAAACACCTTGAAAGTGGGTAAAACGTATTGATTGGTCTTTCCGACATGCCACATCTACAAGGTTGCGCTCCTGGAGTATGTCAATGAGTAACGCAGAGCTTTTGTCATACCGTGTCTGCTGTAGCGCACGGTCTTCTGCGCTACAGACACAATTAAAATCTCCCATTAGTACAACTGTTTTGTCGGTGTTCAGAAAATGTGCTAGAAACTGGAAGTAGGAAGCCCTTCCATTCACCGTATTAGGAGCATATATACAAATAAAACGCCAGTTGATCTGTCTTAAAGAAAGGTCACATAAAATGAGACGCCCTTCCTGGTCACTGGTCAAGGAAACAGACGAATAGCCAAGCTTTTTACGAAGAAACAGAAAACAACCGGCAGAAAGGCCTACTGCCTGACTCACACATATTTCGAAGTCCTTCCGAAAAGGCTCTAAAGCCTCTGCCACGTCTTCATCTGATGACAATTTCGTTTCTTGTATTGCGGCTATGTCAACATGCTCGTGATTCAAGAGCCTTAGAAGTTGGTACTGTTTCCTTTTAGACCTTAAGCCCCTTACATTTAACGTTAAAAAATGCAAAGGCAGGGCGGATTTTGTGAGGGGCATTAGGGTGAGCTAAAGCCCCTCTTGACCTTCTTCAAGCGTCTTATGGCTACTTTGTTTTCGATACGGTTGGTGTCTGGTTCCTACCTGTTTTCTATCTTTTCTCGATTTTGCGACAGCCCCTTCATCAGCTACAACAGTGTCAGACTGATAGCCGAGTCCTTCTGAAAGATCTTGCGGCTTCAGCGCGTCTGCATCCAACCCGATGGTCGTTGGTGCTACCTCAAAGGTGGTGGTGGTGTCGTCACCACTTGTTGTAGCATCCTCCCCGACGACCGTGGTTGTGGACGAGTTGTCGTCATCATCGTCAGGTGGGGGGGATGGTTCAGGGAGGAGTTCTGGATCGTTTTCCGTGGTTTGGGGGTCGGTCACTGCTGCTGGTAGGTCACCTTCGGCTTGGCTCTTAAAGGCTTCTGCGGATGGTGTGTGCCCGGAAGCATCGACAACCTCCGAGACATCCATCAGGAGCTCAGACCGTTCCTCTTCGTCCTGGGATATCGTTCCGCGAAGCTTGCTTGCGTAAGTTGTGACGCAGTCGTCTGCGGTGTGTCCGTAGCGTTTACATTCCGAGCAGCGCGGTGTTCTGCACTGTCGGCGGACGTGTCCTACCCTGTTGCACCTGAGGCACAAGGGGGGCCTTCCTGGAATAAGGATGAGCGATTGACACCCATACACTTTAAGTAGGAATGGGATTCTCTCCGTGGTGATTCCTTCGTGCAGGGTAATGTTAACTTCCCTGTTGAGGGTGTCCATGTGCTCCATGCCGGGGCAACGCCACTTCTCTCGGCTGATGTTACGGACTGTGCCGTAAGGTGCCAGAGCTTCGATGATACGCCTATCTTCGAGGTAGTCCGGAAGCCAAATAAGCTTGATCTTGAGGTCCCGGGTGTCTGGGTCAAGGACAAGGCATTTCTTGCCTTTCACGACCAACTCACCACGACTGCAAAGCTTCTCTTTGGCGAGGGCGTTGACGCAGGTCACCATCCACACATGACTCATCTGAAATTGTCCGGTGGCTTTGACATCTTTCAGGTCGATGACATCTTTGATGGCGTCTCGAAAGTCCGGGGCCGTGTATGGCCTAGCAGTCAGATCGGCGTGGAGAAATACGGAGTTGAGGACGATGTTGCCGGTTGGCAGACGTGGAAGTATGACCTTATATTCGTTGGAGACGCCATCCGAAGACTTAGAAATAACTCGGCCAGTGGCCGATGCGGTGTTTCCACCAGAGAGCATTTTTTCCACGGCCGTTCGCAACGGCGTCTTCTTCTTCCTGAGCTACTCGGACATCTTTTTGTTGGGTGATTTCTTCCCTTAGTAACAATGCAGCCGGTGAACTGTAAGTGGGAAAGTTTGCTGCCGATTTTCATCCAGCAAAAGCACTCCCGGGTCGAAATCGGGAAGCACCACGTATTGGCGACATAGTAAAGAAATCGTGCGCGTGCATATTCAACCCGAAGTAGACCCGTCGTGCTTGACGTTTGCGCGAGCGATGTCTTCAGCCACGAGAAGGGAGCGACGGCTCGGCGACGTCTTCGTGCAAATCGGCTTGGTGGTCGGGCGTATTGTAGGGGATGCATACCAATTCTTTTGATCAGTCCCAAATTTCTCTTTTAAAGGCAGACAGAATTCGCCGGTACCGCGAACGACAGTTCTGAAGTAGAGGTCCAACGCCCGTCGTCTGCTGCCATCGCCGTCCCCGCGAGTCCCACGATACGCGAAACGACGCACGCACAGAATGCTTCCGGTTCTCTGTGCAAATTTTTTTCCAATCAACGTATTTGCAGCTTTTTAGAAGCCACAAAAAATGGGTTTCATATTTTTTTTTCTATTTTTAATATTGAGTGTCTGCCTTCAGTGACCAACGACTTGGATTAAATTTGGTGGTCGCTTCGATACCTTAGAAAACGGCCCGTGACCACGGAAAAGAGAGTGAGCGAGACTCGAACCGGCCAGTTCTTGATCGGCAGTTTTCGGGCGGAAAGAAACCGAATTTCGAGTCGCAAATTGTGTTCTGGGTAGTTGGGCTTTCATATGTCATGTACAACTAAAAACCTCGGCGGGCATAAACACCCTGTCAGTGTCCCTTTAAAGGGGTACTCCACCGATCTTTTGAGCTACCTCAACTAACTATATTTTCTGACTCCCCGGCCTTTACTCTCTCCGGTATGCTATTTAGAATCGCGAAATTCATAATAGTTATTGCGAAATCGGCAAATGAAAATGATGCAAAAACCAACATTTAAATACACGCGCGCTTTTCAGGGCCGTGACGTCGGTGGCAGGCAGGCTTGTCAGTCCAGCAAGCAGCCAAAAAATAGAATATGCCAATCATTTGTTCCGTGCTGGAGCGCGGGTACCGCAGCGAGCTTCCCAAGCATTCTTTTGACACCATGAAACTGCTTCGAATCAGTTTAAAACAAAATCTACAGCCCAAAGAGTGAACCCCTGCCTTCCACTGACGTCACTTTTTCATTGTTGCCAGTAGAGACTTCGATCTTGAAAAACATGGTGAAGACCAGGGTGTAAGATAGACAGGTGGGGAAACGGCCCATAGAAACCTACCGCAGCGCCGTGACCGGATTGTGTACTCGTCTGCTTGCGGGTGGCTTGCGGGTACCCCCGATTTGCGACAGATGGCGCTGCGGCGTGAAGAAAAAAATTGGAATCGAATTTGCATGGAACTCTATGGGAGAGTGCGCAAAATAAACTGAGAGCACGACACTCCTCCATTGAAAATCCACGAGAAACTTTCTCCGTCAGTTCAACCGGTCGCCAGCGTTCGCCCACCTGGAGTGAGAGTTCGCGGTGCTCCACATAGATGGCGCCACAGAAAAAGAGAAAACCGAGGGGGACACAATCCGGTCGCTCATTTGGCTCTCGTTTCACCACCTGTCTATCTTACACCCTGGTGAAGACCAAAACTGTAAATTCAATACCTTCGCGAAAAAAACAATATTTTGACCTAATATTTGGGATACTATTTTCGCGATGTTTGTTGGTTAGTTTAGCAAAATTTCAAGCAAATCGGAGACAATGAAAAAATCGGTGGAGTAGCCCTTTAACAGCTCCGCTTTAAAAAGGTGTATTGATATGTGAAAACTCGGGGCATCATCCGGTCATTCTCTGAGTGAAGTAATGGCGGCCGTAAGACTGATACAAAAGTTTTTTTGTGAAATTCGGAGGTTTCTTTGGAGTTCATTTTCCGCTGGGATTTCGAGATTTATTGTTGTTTATTTTTGTTATATTTTAAATTCCTTGAAATTTTGAGTTTAATTTTGCTGAAAAACCTTGCGAAACATTCGAATATGGTTATTGTCAGAAATGTCTCGCATAAATAATTAAATTGCGTAAGAAAAAAAAATTAATGCAATTTTAGAGGATTTGTAAATGTCTTTCTGCAGGGGTTTGTCCCGAACTTTCAATCTGGCGGATGGCGGGGGGGGGGGGGGGGGGGGGGGGGGGGGGGGGGGTGTCGGTCACAAAGTTTTGAGGGGCTGTAGGGAGGTGTGGGGAAGGGGGATGTAGCTTTGTATGTGCTTTGGGCAGAAAATTCTGGAAAAAAAAAAGGGTGGGGGGGGTCTGTATAAATCTCTGGCTTTCTGGTCACAGTTTCTTGAATTAAATTATGCTAATGTTTAGCGAAATAATATGGATTATTATTAACTTTTTATGTGAGTGGCAGGGTTCACTAGTTAACAGAGAGGTTCGAGCGAGTTGGTTGCTCACGATGTACAGGGGGAACAGCGCACCCGCAAAACAGCGTTTTGCGGGTGCGCTGTTCCCCCTGTACATCATGGGTTCACTAGATTCACTGACAAAGAATTGTTAGGTTTTATCGATGCCTTTTTACACTTCGTTTGGCCGAAACGTAAATGTCACTCTCGGTTTACATGAGGGAGCATCCTTCGTGGCCAAAGGAGTATATTCGGCCATCAGAAGAACCGAAACCGTAACCGCGCTTTCACTTGCAAGTTGGAGGCACGTGGTTTTGTTTTATGCGAGGCACGCATTCTAATCCGTCGGTCAATAAATTTGCTCGAGCTGCGCAAATAACATTAAAAAAATCAATAAAACCCCAAAATACAACAGCCTTTTAGGCTTTGGGCAACGCTTTCAGGGACAAGGTCACACTCTGGCGACGACACGAAATCCCAAAAGGCGTCGCCTGGCGTCGCTGGGATCGCAACACCACGTGACGAGCTGACGTCGAAAGTTTTCCACCTTTTCCACCAGCAGCACCGCGAGGTTGTCGTCGGAGAAGTGTTTTTCGGGAGGTCGTGTACTTTCCATTCATTCACGATGGATCGTGCCAGGACCTTAATGTCGACGTTGACGCCTATCACCAGGGCTGCCCTAGCCCAGACACCGTCGGGCACGGCCGTCGTGCGACTGCTCAAGGGACGCTTTGGCTTTGATCTAGGCGCCAGCCTGATGCCCGTCCGAAAGTATGTGACCCGCGCCGCGGCCGAGCCGTTCCTCAACGGCAGCTCGTCGGTGTACGTCGAGGAAATGTACAAGGCGTGGACCAAGGACCCGTCCAGCGTTCACAAGGTAAGAAGGGACAGCTGACGCGCTCTGCGAAACAGACCGGCCCAAAACGCGCGAGCGCGCGCGTACTACGCTGAAGTGCGCAACCACCACTGACCTATAAATACCCGCTCCACATATTACCACTGCATTGTCGCACCGGATAACCGGGGGGGATTGCTGTCGGCTCACCTTTGCAGTTAGGTCGAGGTTAGGGCGAATAGAAAAAGTCGCTTTTCGCCACCCGTTTTCGCGACTGAACGGAGGAGCCCGGCGAGGAGCGACAGGTAGCTCTTTGCAAGGTTATACCGGGCCTGAAGGTTGTCGTCGCCCCGGAATGCAGCGCTCCGGCGCTCCGACCGGCTTATTACCCTTCGATTTTTCAAGGTGAACGCGAAAGGGGAAATGTTTAGTGTCCCGCGATCTTAAATTCGCACAGGGTTCGAAGGCGTAGGTCGTCCGGTCACCTCTGTGTTTTCCGTCCGTAACCTCCGACTGTGACGAAGTCAACGTGCCTTGTACTTACGTTGAAACCGGACGCTGCAGGTGGCTTGCTTTTACCGTGAGACATATATGACGTAGTTCTTGGGTCGTTGGCGAGAGACGACAGACATAGATGTTCCCCGCGTAGTAAGTTGTTTTTTCTTCTTCTGGCAATGCGTTTTTTAAGCGAAACATTTATTGTTTGGTTGTCGATTTCGGACACAAATCGAGCTTACCCTGTAGCAGCTAGCAGTCGGAAGATTTTTGACATTCAACTGTCACGGCCTATTGCCCCTTCTTGTACAGACATATTTCTCTATGTATTCATAAGGGATCACATGCTACTAGTCATGCTTCGTGCGTGACATTTTTGTGCCTTGTAATTCTTTAGGACGGTGGTTCTTAAAGAGGGGTCCGCGAAGCTCAGCCTCATCAGTCAAGCCTGGCAGTAAAACTTATATTTTCTCAGATTGAGAGGAAATGTTCCAATTTTCGGGTGAGTTTTCTCGTGTATATGTCAATAAGACAAGTCTACTTCACACTAGACCTTAGTTGTATAAATTAAATAAATCACTATCATAATTAACCTCCAACTTTCCCTTTCTCTCACCACGAACGGGGTCCTCCATCATCTCCGTCGATCCACGAAGGGTCCGCAAAACATCAGTGGTTGAGAACCACTGCTTTAGGACAACAGGTTAGATATCAAGAGTCCGAAATTTGGCATTGTTTTGTGCCAGGGAATGCAAGGCGAGAGGGTTACAACAGCTGCCATTGCTTAATATGTCAGTCTTTGAAGAAACTTTGCTTGGTTCAAGTGTTTTGGCTTTATCTGTTCCTGTTAACCAATAAGTTATTCTATTTTCCACATAATTTTTATGAATATAGAATAAGGTTACTGATGCAATGGCTCAGGGTGTTGCAGGATTTATCATCTCTTATCTAGGAGTTGTGATGCAAGTCCCAAGTGCTGGAAACGTCCGAGCTCTGTCGCCGATGCTAATGGTTACAGTTGACACACTTGTGGGGAAGTGGTTTTGGAAGGTTCCTACTAGACTTCAGGAATGTCTGATAAGAATGTGGCAATTTCAGCTCATTGCATGGTCTATAGGTATCCTAACGTCAGTGTCTAAATAGAAAAAATGCATATTTAACACACAAAAAATACTATGCAGAATACACAGAATACTATACTATACTTCAACATAGCCAGCTACGTTGAAGTCACTGACTAGATGTTTGTGGATATGGGTTAATAATCTTGCCTTTCTGGAAATTTACTCCTTGCTTTATCAATATCGGGCAAAATTCCTTGAACTGAGTCATAGGGTTGTTAACATTGCAATTGCAAAATGACCGCCTTTGTTTTTTCTTGCAATAGCTTTTAGTGGAGAGGTCTGTCGAACTCAAAATGTCATGGTTATTAAAGAAGCTTTATTTCGTCTTGCCAAATCTGCCACTTTGAAAGCTGTGGTCTGTTTATAATTAGCAACTACCTTTGTGACTCAATTATTTCCAAGGCATTAGAAAATAATATTGTACCCAATGGTTCTATATTACACCAAGAACACAAACTGCAAGTCAAAATGTAACCTTCACTGCAGCATGACTACTTGTAGAGGCTGCTTCACGTGGCAGTGTGTTTTGATGAAACCATTGTTAATATTTTGATGTGCCCTGTGAGATGATGCAATAAGTCATTGTTGTTATGCTCCGTTTCCAATGCAAATAATGCTGTTTATGCAGAGCTACACTCACAATTTTTTTAAACATAGTGGCACGTTACGTGAATTCACTTTGAGCACCAAATGTTAAAAGGGTGTAAAAGCGGTACCTCAAATCGAATAGTTCTATGCTATTTTAAGCTTTTACAGAAAACAAAGATCTGATGATTATAGGCAAACTTCCCAGCTAGATCTCCTTGTTGAAACATGTGTGGTCTGACAAAATACCAGAAAAAGAAACTGTTGGGGGTCAGTGATCTTGGGCCGACTATATTTTTACGCCCCCTCGTATCCGTGTGTCTCCTCAGCTGGCCTGTAGGGAGAGGAGTGGAAAGGACAGAAAGGGAAGGGCGATTCTTTCTCTCGAAGGTTCGCCCCCTGATCCTGTACGAGGCAGATAGAAAGAGAAAGGAAGGGGGGCAAGGGCCCTGTTTTTGCTCCTCCTTCATTTTGGATGCCCAACCGGGTCGGGTCGCAGGGGTGGGGCTACTCGGGACATCCCCCCTCGCCTGGGTTTGGTAGTGGGGGGGTTCATGGGGACAGTTGAACGATCCCCGACCCGCCCCTTCTGGGGAAGGGACTCCATGCCCACCTCCCTTCTAGGAGGAGAGAAAATGTGGGGCACCGTGAAGTTCACGCAAAGGGTTAGGGGGAAGCCCCTCCCATTGTGTGCCCATCCCTCTGCCCCTACACAACAACTGTTCCGGGATGTGCGGAGGATATCTTGGCCCGCAGACACCCCAAACAACCCGAGGCAGACCGTTTTTACCCTTTCTTCTCTGCTCCGGACCTGCGGCGGGATCTGTGCGGCAAAAGGATCAGGCTCGGGACTGCAGCTGGATAGAGTGCCACCTAAATGCCCCTCCTCGAGGGTCACCGGGCCCGGGTTGGGTAGTACCCCCTAAGGTCCCTCTATACTGGAAAGGTAGCGCCATCTCTCCTCCTCACCCTTTACGTTTCTCTCTTTCTCTCCTTTTGGCGCCGCGCGCGCCGCCTAGGGGGTACCAAGAAGGAGAACTAGCAGACGACGGCCGTGTCCTCTCTGCGCATTCAGAGCGCACAATCTTTCGCGTTGTGTATTTGAAAGTGCAGGTTTCTGATGCATTCTTACATTGCATAGTGCCAAGCAAGTGTTAAACACCAAGAAAGAATGAGTTAGACGTGACGGCAGCGTTTTCAACCTTCGGATAAAGCTCACAGAACTGAGTACATAGAAAATAGAACACAGCTTTATTTCCACGAGTAACAATGGAACGATATGGTTCTCACGATTGTTGTAAGCACCGTCATTGTCAGTGATTAAATACGTAAGAATGCCTTCATAATATTCGGCCTCACATAATCGCGAAAATTTCTAGATCTTGCAGTCTTCCACGAGCTTAACGACTACAAGTGCGAATTGCGATTGCTGCTGCCTCCGCGCTAAAAAGAGCTTGAAACGCTATAGCAATCATACCGTAGATAAACATGCATGAGCTACCAAGGACGCCGGACTATTGCGATCATTTCTGTCGATCTGGTTTCGACCGGGGCCTTACGAAATTCGGGTGACTGCATGTATAGCAGGGCTAGTTTGTCACTCGTCGCTTTCATATTCGTTTCCCTTTTTTTTGAGGGGGGTTGGGGGGAGGGGGGGGAGGGGGGTACGGTTGGCGTTGATGCAGTGCTACTGTATTCCGATCTGTAAAGCCCTTCTGTACTTACGAATCGGCGGGTGTCGGCTGGCCATACTACTTACCGTAACTTCAAGCACTTTTTTTTAAGTTTAATGAATTTTACAGTTATTTGCCAGAAATAAACATAATCTGCACAAGCTACGTAAAAAAAAAGAAAAGATCGTGACAGATTATTCATATGATGTATTACATAGCATCATAGTTTATAAGTTTTGCCTCCTTTATATTTACTAAAAGTAAAAATATCCAACTTTGGTTTTGGTCATTACTAGACTGGGGAAAAAAAAATTGCAGAGAAAAGGCAACCGACTCGAGATTAAAATATGTGGCATATATTTATTTTCAAATTACCACAGACTACCATAGCCAAGACAGCAGTGAATGGAAGCACTTATACACATGCTCAGATATACTTTTCACAACAAAGACAATAGGTGAAAAATTATTAGAAGGAGTCACTACACAAATCTAACAGGCAAAACATAAAATTATAAAGAAGGTCTCACACTAGCCAGTTTTAACAACAAAGACAGTACACAGAAGTATTATTACAAAAAAGCCTAATCTGAAATTTATGTATACAACACTAATATATACGGCAACTCATTACAAAAATGTGAACCCATTTGGCCCACCCGAAAACGCCGCTTCGCGGCGTCCGACTATTCGCTAAAGTGTCATTCGGTGAAATGTGGACGTTCGCTAAAACGTCATTCGATCAAGTGAGTGCCTCCCGTCCTTCCCCGGCCGTCCGACAACGCAATCCGTGGCGAAATGCGAAACGGACGTCCAGCTACAAAAAGAAACGAAAAGCTACACGACCAACGACAACAGCAAAACTGCCCCGAACGTCTAAGCAAGTCCGGATCTGTCCGACGCAACGCGAGTCCGGCGTAGCTTGCGGCGCAGCTGGCGACGGGACACACGAGACACGGGAGGATTTGCTGGCTGGATCCTTCATGGCTGCCAAAGGGGCGGAGCGCTAGGAGAAGGTCACGTGCCACACACCGGCCTACCGCTGAGCTCGGCGGCGTGATCAAAGGTTGTCGCTACTTTTCCAGTATAGAGGGACTTTAGTACCCCCAGCCGGGCAAAGCAGCGTCCTCCTCCTCCTCACCTGGCCGTGCCCAGTGGGCATTAG